GTGAATGTTGCACTACGGATGGGCACGTAACGACAATTCCTACAACTGTGCCTGTGAATGTTGCACTACGGATGGGCACGTAAGTTCGAATTCCTACAACTGTGCCAGTGAATGTTGCACTATGGATGGGCACGTAACGACAATTCCTACAACTGTGCCTGTGAATGTTGCACTACGGATGGGCACGTAACAACAATTCCTACAACTGTGCCAGTGAATGTTGCACTTGCTCCTCCAGATATTTTAAAGTCAATCAAATGCATTTGTGATGGCACTACACATTGTGTCTGAGATACAGTTGCAGTAGCGCAAAGATGTCACATTCTGTTCATGTCTTGGAGGTGTGGGCTACTGCAAAGACTTGACAAAATCAACTTTAGACTTATTTGAAGAAGAGTCAGATGACTAAAACATGTTGTCATATAAAAATGCAAATATTAACTTCAATAAATGCCATCGTTCACAAAACTACTTTACTTGATTTTAGCAATGCCAACTAATGTTAAGGCATAGAGAGAGATAGAGTGGCAAAAAAGTATCAATACATCCAAATACTGAACTATGATAGTGTATCATCAGGCAGTTTCATAAAATGAATGGTCTTAAGATGTAGTATCCACAAAAAATATTGTATAAATGCTGAATCTAAGTTCACCATACAGATTGCTGGACTAATACATAATTATAATTTTGAATTTATAAAAAAAAATTTGTCTGGTACAAGCTGAAAGCACAAAGCACCACAATGGTAGCTGTATCATTGCAGTAAAATATTTTATCATCTTGCTTTGGTAACAAGTGTAAAATTTAAACAAAAAGACCAACGAGACTGGTTTAATAAACTTCCCTACATTAGGGTACCTTGATATTTGTAACCTGCAATTATCTTGTTTCTTTTATCTTTTTAAAACTTTCACACAAAGCTACACAAATGCCTATCTATACTTAACAGTGAACTGTTAAGACTAGAGAGAAGTCAGCTAGTAAATATTACCTACCACCAAACTTGGGGTATTCTTCTAAATGTATAGTGATATTTAACTGTCACTCTTATAGCACCCCTACAGCACTAAAGAGTAAAGTTGATTTTCACAGCAAAAGGACCCTTAAATATGAGCCCTTGGATTTACAATCCGTACAACCACTAGGCCATGCCCGGTCAACTTGCGGTTGTCATTAGAAGTTACACACAAATGTATTAACATTACTAATGGCTGCACATGTGCATATATCTATGTGGTTAGAAGGTTTACAATGTAAGTTATGCAACTACAAGCACTGTTGGATCTGATAAGGTAAATAAATACGGGGTTTTATTGTTCAGCCACACAAGTCTTTACTTATTTAAGCATTACTAATTAATTCAAGAAAAGAAGAAAACTGAAACACTAGTCACAAAAGGTTTATCAACACATTTATATAAGCAACATTAAGTTAATAATAGTTTAAACTATGATTAACCAAAACAACTAGATCTAAAAGATGTTAGCAGAAGTCTATAATCTGTAATTTTTCACTTTCACGATACCATTAGAAAGAGTTTTTACATATTCCCATAAGTTGGACTTTTCCATAAACAGAGAAGAATATACATAATGAATTTTAATACGTTTAAAACATCACTCTACAAACTACAGATGAAATATTTAAACAAATGAACATCAGAAAAAATTACAGCTTAAAATAAATTGTTCACGTTCAAAGATATTATCCTCAACTTCAGGGTTGAAACAGGTTTCCAAAAAGCACAAAAGTTTCAGTTATGAAGAAAATAAAAACCAAGGAATGCTAAAAACTAGTACTTGCTCAGCTAATGCACAAGTTTCCATAAATGTGTGATCGATGTACGTATGTATGTGTGTGTGTGTGTGTGTGTGTGTGTGTGTGTATATATATATCTGCACATATGCACACTAATTATTATGTAAGACATAATCAAATCACTTAAATATAAAATTTTTGGTTGTCAATTTATAGTCAGACTTGAATATTTCCTATGTTCTTCCATCAAAATATTGTCCATTTTCTTCCTAAAAGCATAAATAAGCTCAGCTACCACATCAATTAACAAATTCCTCAACATCTATGTGGAAAATATAAGTCATAATGAAGACAAGCTATAAATCAGAAAATATACAGAATAATAAAACAAAATAGAGTACAACAGATCTATTCTGTACAAAGAAACCATGTCAGGACTTTTATCTGATAGAAGTGTCATACAGATCACAGCTTAAAACCAAGCACCAAAGAAAATGTGTACATTTGTTTACAATCTAATATTTATATTTAAAGAATATTCTTCTAGAGGTCACTTCAGGAATAGATTAACTTGGTTATTGTAGTTCAATTACTGACCAAAATACCCATATTTTATGACTTGCTTATAAAGCATAAAAGAACAGAAACAGATACATCAGCTGTAAGCTTGGAATGTGATTACATTTGGTTAAGCTTAAAATTTATCATGCACATTTATGAATACATGACTTACTAACTTATTCTTCAAAAAACATATGATACAAAAAAGAACATCACTGCAGAATATATATAAACATGTAAAACATAAGAAAATAAGTATTCAATAATTTACAAATATTTATAATAATTGTCATATTTTTTCAACAAGCGACAAGCTAAAACTACCATGAAATAACACATTCTGGTTTACCATACAGATAAATAAATGCCAAGAGAAGCTATTCCAACTTCACTTTAAAAAATTAATATAATGTATTATACAGGTTATTTATATGAAAACCATAATTATAAAATAATCGTATTAAAAGGCTATTTTTAAAATTATAGCATAATATTTTATATTTTTCAGTTTCTTAACAAGCAAATTACTGACCATAAAAATATAATAAAGTTTGCTGATATAAACCATAGACAAGCTCATGATTAAAAACATAATAAATAATTAAATATAACTAAACACTTTCTACCTGTAGTTTTGGGATATACATGTTATTGTATAGCATTAGGTTCAAATTCTAGCCATTAAAACAAATTAGGATAAAATTTATTAAAGACATTGTCCTCATGGAATAATTTATTTGTTGAATCTTTTAACTGTACTTACACATCACCGTATTGTTTTTCCATTACAAATATCTTCCTCATTTTGTAGGACCAAATACACATACAAAAATTACTTTCCATAAAACTGTCTTGTAGGAAGGTAGTTTCCTTAAAGTCCAGTTGAAAATTTTCAGAATTATATTTTAAAGATTTTTCAATATCATTGTAATTCAACTTCACATTTTTTAACCATCAAAACAATACTCTCTGCACTATTGTAAGTGGCCAAAAATATCCGATATTTATTTTTAGATTCTGAAATGCTTAAATCTTTGTGTTATAGTCATGCCTTAGCAAGCATTTTTTCTTAACTACATTTTTAATCCAACATTTCACAAGAAACTAAAATGTTTTTATGCATTTTGCTATTGAATATTTTCTACACTAACCTCAAAATGATTCAAATATTAGGAATAGTTTAAAACAAACAAACCTACACTGATCAGATTTTCAGAAACAGACACCTTGGTTGATTTGGAGTTAAATCAATAATTCAACATTTCTTCATTTTCTTTACTTGGGTTTAATTGTAAGTATATGAAACACTTTACTTGCTAAATAAGAAAAAGGTTTCAACTTTTCATTCTTAATGAACTAATAATTTGAAGCAATTTTCCAAATGCATTACTTACAATCACTTTATACAAGTATAAAAAAGTCTAAGTTATAATCACAAATTTCAAAGGAGATATAAATACATTATGTGATACATTATTTATAGTAATCACTATATAAACACAGCACCTAAGTTACATTTTGTTATTCAGAATGAATAAATAGTAACATAATTCTAAGCCTAAGTTTCACAGATATCAGTTTTTCCTTGTCATTTCTTAAAAAACTTGTTCAGTCACTCGAATATTCAAACTAGTATACAGTGTGTGTACTTAACTGTAGTTCATAACAGTTAATAAACGTCAAATTCATAACCAGTACCTTTACTCAGTACAGAACTTAAAACTTAAACAGCTCCCAAAGACTAAAAATACAATTATTCTCATGTGTTTGAATAATGATTCTTTACATTCTCTAGAATATTTTTTTGTAATTGATGCAGATTTTCTAAAAACTCTAACACTAATTTTCCAGATTCCAATGCATCTATCCAATTTTTTCCACATAAGTAGGAACCCTGGTTACGCTTGCTGTAAAAAACGTACAGCAATTGCAATTGATGTTCAAAACCAAAGATAATTTTCACCATTTTCTACATTCAAAACCAAAGATAATTTTCACCATTTTCTACAATACGCACAACAGCATGAATGATCTTTCAGAACTGATGATTTTTTTTTTTAAATTAAACATTTCCTGCAAGAAACAGATCTATCAACGAATACATTATCAAATCAGTGAGGTGTCTAATTTATCTTTAGCTGTGGTACTCGATATTCTATAAATCCTTTTAACATCTCAAAATTTATAAAGGAAAACGCAAGTTAACTCTTGGGTAATATGCGTGACATTGCATGACATCACAGTAAAACTAACAACATTTTTCATCACATCATTCTTTACTACCTCTAAAGGATGTTTCAGTAAGAATGAGTGCACAGTAGCACTTCATATCACTCTTTCTGTTGTATGTCATTGTCAACAAATACCAGATATGATACAATAACTGAATTACAACATAAAGTATTATGTTGAAATGCTAATTACATAAGTCATTTACAAGACACCAAGTTTAATAGTTTCAGTAAAATTATTTGTCAGTCCTACTGCAATGTTATGTCACACTTATCATCCAATAAGGCCAACAAAGCCTTTTATTCAATATCAGAGCTAATCAGGCTGACTTGATTATAAGATATACAGTATTATGTGGAAATGCTACTTATATCACTCATTTACAAAACATCATTTGTAATATTACACCTATTATACAATAAGGTATCATACTTTGTAGGCTTAGTACATTAAGCATCATTAGATAAAACGTCTAACCTGTTTTGTTATTTATTTTTAAAATACAGATTAAATTAAGCTAGCTTAAAAAGAATTTAAAAGTCCTATTACTAACATTTTAGTGACTTAAAAAATTCTTTATCTATATAAATGCTTACTCATTTATTGTGATGCATAAAGTAAACCTACTGATCTAGTCTGCTTGTGAGTATTGTATGTTGAAGCCTTTACAATTCCTTGTAGTTTGTATAACAATTAGATTTTCTTAATGTTTCTTGTAGAATGGATTAATCATATTTTTCAACATCGAATTATAACAAAGCTCCCAGAATTAAAGAATAACAAACAAATTTTCTGCCTTCTTCAAAATGGTTTTTAGCCTATGCTATATCAAGTTTCTTTATAACAATTATAATATTCATGCACCAGTCTATTAATTCTTTTGCACAGTAGTTGACTATTGACTGGTACCTTCACAAAATTTGAACAGTCGTGAACAAAAAAAAAGCTTTTATACATATTTCTTACCTTGGATATGATATGACTTAGTCTTACAATCCCAGAAATTTTACAAGATTTAATCAAATTTTGAAGGAGGGGTTAACTAACAGAAAAGAAGATAAATATTAAAATCTAGGAAGCACAGTTACATTTCTTTTAACCATATTCAAAGAGAACCCTCTGGTGGGAAATAAGAATCTCAATGACCAGACTTTCTTGGTGCCAGGCAGCAAGTTGTCCAGGCTGAGCAATTAAATCAGGTGTTCGCATCAAAGACGGACAAAACACGGTACTCAGGTTGTGTGGTGTCATCAAGTTTTGTTTCTGCTTTTCAGTTACTCTAAAATACAGAAAATGTGATCAAAAAATCATATTTTCTTATCCAATGATATATGAAAAGGATTTCTACTTTCTCATGTCATTCAAATTTTCTTAATATGACAAGAGGCTTTTGAAACTCACTGTAAAATTCCCTTATTAACTACAGGCACTTACACTTAGCTCTACTTCTTTTTTTTATTATTTCAATAGTTCAAAATATTAAAGTTACAAAACAGAAAAATTAACATGCTTAAATTAGTACCCGTTCCTTTTTCAACATAACTTTTGATTAGTTAATGAATTGGCATTGATTAAAATAATCCTAATTGATTAATTTTTTCTGCGTGTTTCATAACTTTTGACTCATAGTTTCATCTAGAAAATAAGTAGCTTATACACTAAATTTACTAGCTAAAGAATATTATAATCAAGTAATGTAAACTACATCGCTGACACCTGACCTTTCACTACAAAATATATAAACCACACAGAGAGAATAATTCATTCACATACATATGAACTTCAATACCAGTTAGATGATTTTTTTCTATCATTACTTTACACACACACACTCACTTACTTACACTTCCAAAATACTAGAAAAATATGAAAAAATAAAGAAGTGAAAAAAACAATTACCAAAAAATATATATATTAATTTACCTGTTTAAGTGTACCAGTAGATACTTGAGAGTCTGGTAGTGAGCTGGTGGTAGTTTATTAATAGCTTCTCTTAACCCTTCAAGCCTTCCTTCTAGAGTTTGTTGTCCTGGAAAGTAAAAAAAAGTATTTATGAACATCACTTAAACCACACTTTTCAGTATGGTTAGTCAACATAGCTTGCTCTTTAGACTATTTTAATCCCATAAGAAAAAAAAAAAAAAAGAGTTCAAGGATAAAAAAATATTTTTTTACAGAATACCATCTAAAGTGACTATCTCTGCAGATTCAATAACGACAACAGTAACAATTGTTTTCCACCAAAGGGTATTCCATGTGCCCACAGCCAGATTGTGGATATATACAAATTACGTATTATTTTACAGGGGATATATTGAAAATCAAGTTATATGACTAAAAAACTAAAACATTCTTGGATAATGCTTAATATCTATTTTCATTAACAATGTAAGGTTCTTCAAAAGATATTTTATATATCTAAGGTCTATATTATTCACTGGATCATCCAATTCTGTTACATTAGTAAATTACACAGGACGTTGTCTTGTATCGTCAGTATTGAAATTGAACTAACAGTTTGTTTCAGATTTCACGCAAAACTACTTGAGGGCTATCTGAGCTAGCTATCCCTCATATAGCAATGGTAAACACCACCTATCATCAACTCTTGGGCTACTCTTTTAACAATGAATAGTAGGATAGACTGTTACATTATAACACCCCCACAGCTAAATGGGCGAGCATATTCGGTGATGGTGATTCAAACCTGTGACCCACAGATTGTGAATCAAGTGCCCTAACCACCAGGCCATGCCATGTCCAACTTTTCCCTGCTAGTAAGAAAAAAATACCAAAAATACAAAGGGTTGAGTACATTACATTAAAACAATCCTGTCATGCTCTATCAGACAACCTTACATCTTGACATGCAGTGCAGTATAGTTTTTATTGCATATCCAAAGCACACCACTCATTTCTACAGGCTTTCCATAATCCAACTTAATGTATGAGAATAATAGTTTCCCAGAGTCCATTTTAACACTAAGACTGCACAGATATCTACAACTGTTGTGTTCAGCACCTTGACAAGTATGTTTTCATACAGATTTGCATGATACCCATTTCATTCTCTAGCTGCTTGAAATACATAGTTGAACAAATATGTAATTGAAGCAACTTGTGTACATGTTGTGACTTGTACAACTTCATAAGACACAGATCCTTCTTAATTATGTTGCATACTGCTACCTGGTGCACATGAATGATTTCTGCTATTGACCTTTTATTCCTGGATTCTCACCTGTCACAAGACATCACACTTTGCCTACCACACTTGGGGTATGACTTGCGGGTCTTTTTCTGGATAGTCCTAGTTCCTCCAATTAATCCATATTCCTCTATTGTCCAGTGTCATTAACCATACATCAAAAACTGAATCATAGTGCATCTATATATATCAATTAACTTGGCATCAAAACATAGTTTATAATTAAAACTTTTATACTATCTAATTTTTAATCTTAAAGGGAAATACTTTAATGAACTCTTAATCTCTGTGTCACATGACATGTCTGCACTCCATATTGCATATTTTAGATTTATTTTCTGCTCTTATATAATTTTCTGTGCATCCAACTAATTACAAACATATACTACATATACCAAAAAGCCAGTATATAAGTGTAGATATAAAAAAAATGTCAAATCCACACAACACACCCATCCTATATCATACTCTTTTTCAAAAAAATTAAAACATTCTCTCTGACACTGCTATTGAATTATTTATAATCCATAAAATGAACAGATTATTCTTTACAAGATTCCTTATAGGGTTTATTTCATTTTAGCACTCATAAGTAGAAATTTAACCTTCGATTCAGTGTTTGAAATTGTGGTGTTTAACTTCGAGAAGCAAACAGAATTTTTTAAGCCTATTTATAGCAACATTAGAAAAATAATTACATTTTACTAGTGTTGGGACATTGTATCCTAGTGCTTGAAATATTTTTTGTATTATAAAATGCTTATTTCATAGGAACTTTAATGATTTTGTAAACAACCAACATAGTACAAAAATGTAGGTAAAAGAGTTACTTGTTGTCAACAGCAAGACAGTTCAGGCACAAGTATTAAATTTCAAATTTCTTATGTATATTTATTCTTACATATTGAAAAAGCTAACTACAATGTACAAAATCAGAAACTTGTTAGGTTAGATAAAAAATGTAAAAGAAAAAAAATCGTATAAATAAACTTTTTGCAATACTCAATATCCTACTTCAAGGCAATCGTGCACACATGATGTAGCCTGACTGTAACTTGACTGTTTATTTATACTAAGCTGTCCTGCTGTGATAAATGGTTTTCACAAACTATGAGATGATCTAAGAACAGCTGTAAAACAATCAAAATAAATTAAAGAAAATGTAAAATGGCTTGTAGCTTAGGCTATTGGAATAAATAATTGTAAATGCCTATTATAATCCGCAGTCATTCTAGAATGGAAAAAGTTATTTTAAATTTTATTCAGTGTTTCATTTGACCATACATTGATGAGTTCCCTAAAGTTAGTGTTAGGGTAGAGTAAATAACAGATAAGATACGAGTTTTACTGAAAAAACTTCAGATATTCATTTAGGAGGTTCTAGAGGTTGTACAAACTAAATACAAAACTTTAAGATGAAAAGAAGTATTCTCATCCTTTGCATGAGCATCACCTTGCACTAAGACTGACTTAGCAAAGGTTTCAGAATTCATAGACAAATCTTTAGTAGAAATGTTTCATTAAAATCTTTAAGTTGTTTGTTCACAACAGGTTTTAACAAAGATCCATTTAGTAAATTCAGAATTATAGTAAACATTACTGTATATAGCTTCACAGAAACAGGGTTGATACAACTAACTGATGCCCACTAATAGAGGGTTAAGTACAAGGTGTGTCCTGATCTTGGAATTTTAAAATCTTCAGTATGAACAAGTCTTTACAATATCAGTGCACGTATATTTTATGTTGAAAAGGGCTGTTACATATAATTTCTGAAAGAGATTAATTTTAAGTAACATAACAGTACCTACAAAGTACCAAACAATGTCAAAATGTTGTTCTGATATGTGTCGTTCTACCGTGGCTTTGTGTCAATTGGTTACCACAACTTGCTGATTTGCATATTCAAAACCATTGTAATATAACGTACTCAACCATCTGTAGAAAACCTATAAATCTAACAACTATTTTGTACTAGAGGCACTAATGTTAAGTTCTAGGCAATTATTATTTAAATTCGCTGGTGAAATCTGTTTTTCAAAACTTTTTTTTGGATGTGTCCTTTCTACAATCTTCAAGGTTTAGATACAACTAAATAAATATTAAACAAGAGAAACAGATGATAGATTCATTACTTACTAACACCATTCATGAACAAAGGGTAGGTATCAAAGGTGATCAAGGGAATAGGTAAAAGACGGAAAAATAGTTTTAGGACTCCAGTTATAACATGAATATCTTCATAGGCACCAGGACTTATGTCTGCATGCAAGCCATCTGTAGGAAACAAAGAGTTTTATATAATATTCAAGATGATGAAAGTTTGTAGTATTTTTAAAATGTTCTATTTATTACATCAAGGTGTGCATAAAACTGCAGAGCCATAAAACATGACACAAAATATAAATAAGATGGAATTTCAAAGACCATTTTAATTATATAGCATAGAAAAATTATGAATAACAAGACATGAATGAAAAGAAAAAATTTTCAAGGAAAATTCGTATCAGATCATAATTTACAGTTTTGGTCTAAATATGATT